ACCAATCCTCCCCCCGGCTCTTCGGTGGTTACGTTCAGTCCGCCGTGTGGCGTGGGCAGCGGCCTGGGTCGGACACCTCTGTCACCGCTTCCCTCCATCGCGTCATTCTCTCCTGAGCCTCCTTTCATCTCATCTTGTTTGCTCCTCACGTCCGCTGAGCATGCAGAACCCACTGTTCACGGTGCCGGTAAGAGACCCCCCGCCCCCCTGAGCGATGGACCCGGAAGCCAAATGGAAAGGGACCGAGGGCAGGAAGGGCGGACATCGGTGATGCCCTTGCTCGGGGGCCCCCACAGCGGGGGTCCTGAGCGAGGACCAGGGCAGAGGCTGTGGAAGGACCGCCGCCTGGAAGCCATGAGGCTAACAGAGAGGCGAGAAGGGCTGGCATCAGGCCTGGAGTGACTTCCGAGGACCTGGACTGAAGACCAGACCCAACACGCATCCCTCCCGGCACCATGACGGCCGGGGCCACAGCCCCTCTCATCTGTGAGGCTGAGAGGAAAGCCTGACCCCCACGGCCCTGCAGGACCTACTGCTGGCCTGGGGCAGCCGAGGTGGTTAAGAAACCATCGCTCCGCCCGCCCGGCTGGTGTAGCTCAGTGGGTGAGCGGCGAACTGTGAGCCAGGAGGTCAGGGTTCAATTCCTGGTCAGGGCTCAGGCCCGGGTTGCAGGCTCCATCCCCAGTGGGGGATGTGCAGGAGGCAGCTGATCCATGATTCCCCTTCATTCCCTCTCTCTCTCTCTCTCTCTCTCTCTCTCTCTCTCTCTCTGTCTCTCTGTCTCTCTCCCCCTCCCTCTCTAAAATCCATAAAAATAGTAAAAAGAAAACAAATACATTGCTTGCTCCTCCTCATTACATGAAAGCAACGCTTCTCCTCAAGCCCCGCCTCCCTGGCCCAGCCACGGCCACGGCCTCGGAGCTCCTGCGCTTTAAGGCCCATTAGCCGGAGGCCAGGCCAGGCTGTGGCTGCAGCGAGGACACGGCCGATCCTGGGAGGGTCACGGCGTGTGGGACGGTATCAGGGCGCTGCTGGGCTCGGTGATGTCACCACGCGTGCACGGGTGGGTGGGCGGGGAGGATGGAGGCGGGGAGCCCGTCCCTGAGGAGCTGGCCCCAAGGGGCCGCCCTGAGACAGGGGCACAGAGCCCGCGGGAGGGAGGGAGGCTCCGGGAAGGTGCTCAGCACAGACGCCTGCAGAGCCCAGCCCACTCCTGGGAAGTTTGAACCCACGGACCCGACACGGACAGGTTTCCATGGATACAGAGGGATGCTCTCGGTGCACCGTCTGTTTCCAAGCAAGTCCAGGATGGAAAACCAGCCAAGCCACCATGGGACACGTTTGCACGGAGACCCACCCTCCAGGAGTCCCCCCAGGAGGCCCCGGCAGGCCCTTCAGGAGACGGTCAGCGGGCGGAGGCATTGTGTGCACACA